ATATAAAGGTTTAAAAATATTAAAATTCAGCTTGATTAGAAAACTTACTCTCCCTTAAACAAGTTGATCACAATTTTTTGAGCATCTCTAATTCTGTCTACAAATTCATAAATAAAGGAATCTTGTCTCAGTTGCAAGGGAAAAAAAATACATAAACTCCTGAAGACGTTAGTGCATGGCAGCACATGAATGGATACAGTAGAAGTCAATACATATAAAAAATATTTTGTCTCAATTGCGAAAATTGAGAGCAACTTAAGTTTTCAGTTAATAGTCTGTAATTATAATCAGTTTATGATAGAAACCCATTTGTTAACAGTAAAATTATCAAGAAAAACAATGGGTAAGACCAAGTATGGCTGCTTCTGCAGTCAGCACTTCAACACACCTAAGTGTCAGAAGGGGAGAAGGGCCTAATCTTGGTCTAGGTGGCAGCCAGCCAGATGTTTTGTTTGCTTGTTCTCACTCTTGTTTAGACTAGACCGTCTCAGAGGCAAAGGCCTTAGTTATGTGCCTTACAGACAGTGCATCTGCTAATAGCTCTGACAGACAGACGGGATAAATGGTTCCAGCTTCTGGGGAGGAAAGACATTCTGCATAGTCTGTAGAGTGTAATGGCAAAACTGATGCCATTTCTGTAAGCAACACAGCCGTCAGTAATAAGTCAACTCTCACTATTTTCATTTTACAGAACTTAAGAATAGCTTAGAACTTAGAATAGAACTTAAGAACTTAGATGTCCCACTAGCTCCTTGTTAGAAACATGTTGCTTGCCTAGCACCTGCACCACATGTCCATAAGGGTCTTACCGATCAGTACGTCATCTCTGGGCTTCTCTCAAGCTTGCATGTTTTGCTTTACAAGCAAAGGCAAAGGTAGGCTTTATTTGAAGGTGTGCAGTGTTCATCTAACCCTACTCCAACAGAAAAAAAAAGCAAAGTTCCTATCAATTTAAGTAGAAAGATGTAGAGCAAAAAACTGGACATCCTCCTTCCCTGTGAAACCCTGCTGTAGGAAACTACAGAGTTAGGTTTTTCAAGTTTCTTGTAATAGCTGATTAGAATTGTTTTGTGGCACTGAACATGGTACTGCAGTCTTCCCGGTTGCAAAATGAGTGCTGAATGAAGCACAAGTTTAAGTTCACTGCTCTTACATTATGGCTGAATACTGATCACATGTCAGAAATAAAAGAATACAGAGCTTTCAATTACTCACTCTATTCAAATGTTGAATTTTCTGAATTTGTCCAAAACAGGAGAAATTTAAAATAGCACTTTTCTGGAAGCAGCGAGTACCAGCATAGGAAGTGATAAGAGGGCTGCCCAGCTTTTGATAAGATAGTTCAAGCAGGACTACTTGGGGTGTATAATTTTCAATTACATCAAGTATAGGAAGAAATGTAGATGCCTGAGAATTGCTGAACTCCATACGCAAGTGAAACATTAGCAGTATGTTTCTAAATGAAATGGGGGTAAGAGGGTAAGAGATAGGAGTAGAAAACATTGAAAACATTCCTTGAACTAAGAACTGCAAAAAGCATCTCCAGAAGTGATGAGGAAAGAGCACCAAGTCTGCAGTGTCCGAGATGCTCATCACAAACAGGAGCTAAATGGCCAGGAATGAGAGCCAAGGCACTTAACTACCATCAGCAGTCCAGATTAGTGTCCCTTCACTTGCTTCAGAGGACATTCACCTCCTCGTTAGGGAGCAGGCCCCCTTGAAGTTTACTAGGAACTTCAGCTGCTCAAACTTCATTGTTTGTGATGAAATGGGACCCAGGATGGACAAATTTGTGTGACAGGGTTGGATGCTGAATGCACATGTTCAAGGGCAGCATTGCTATAGCAGGAGAGAAGACATGAAGGGCTAGATCTTTGCAAGAAAATACACTCCAGCAAGGCCTCTTACAAAACGTCTTATGAAGTGCAGATAAGCATGATGAAAAGTGGATTAATTTAGAATAAGGCAAAATCCTCCTGCCTTCCTGCCCCTCCCAACTGAAACTCTGTTTCCAAAGTCTCAAGACAGGACAAGAAGGGCCTCAGCGCCATCTCCTGGGCACCTTCCTGTCACTGGCAAGATTCATGCAGTAGGTCTTGCAAAGGCATGTACTCACCTCAGTGTTTTGTTCAAGTAACTTGATTTTTCTTTCACAGCACTATCAAGTTTCAAAACATTGAGCTCCTCGCGCTATCTGTAGGATGTGATCTTAGTTTTAAGTGATACCTCCTTATAAACCAGGAAGGTCTGAAAAGAACAGGGGAGAATTCAAGTCCACGCCATGGATTCTTCCCAGCATCAACAAAAATATGTACAAAGGGTGACTCAGTTCCTAGGCTGGTAAAGTATAGACTCAATCTCCAAGAACTGCAGGAAGTACAAAAATCATAATCTCTTGACTGATGCAAAGGGAACATGATTTACTTCATTATATGTTAAAATCTATAATCAGAGTTTGGTAACCAAACCTACACTTACAAAGCAAGTTAATTCAGTGCAGTTCTTTGAAATGTAAAGGCTAGCCTAGGGACTGAAAAAAATAAAATACCATGAAAAACAGACAAAAAATATAGCTATTCTAATATCCTGTTAGTGACTGTACCAAAATATGCATTGAAATGACATCCAGAAAGAACAATTTTTCATATAGCCTACAAATAACTTTGCAAAACTGATGAACTTTAAGTAGTAAATACAAGATTTAACAGATACCAATACTACAGACCGTTAAGTAAAGCAGCGTTTTTGAATGATGCAGAAGCTAAGTTGATGGATTCTAGTCAGCTGCAGTGTAACTTGAAAATAAACTGCAATTTAACAGAGCAATTCACTAAAATAAACCCTCTCAAAGGTTTGTCACTTGCTATTTATCTGCTCATAAAATTTCTCAGGAGCATTGTTTTTTTTCTTTTTTTGGAACTATGAAATTTTATATTTGGGAGGGAGAGTAACATACACTTTCAATCAGCCATTAAATAGGAACATCAAATGGCTGAAAAAATTTCTATCATTTTCCATACATTTGAATCAATAAAGAAATCATACATGGAAAAAATCAAGTAATTTAGCATCCTTTCTATCCTGCGTTTACCTTACAAATGGTTTTCTGCTAAACGAAGAGTCATAAGCCCATTTGATGATTTAATGATAAGCAATCAAACTGTCATTCAAGACAGCACGGTGGCATATGGATTTCCCTGCAGGCACATGCAAGGTTGTTCACAATGGAAGGAACAATCTGGCTAAACATGCACACACTGATGGGTACTAAAATTAACTGAAACTATTCAGAAAACAAGTTAAGGGTCAAGATGAACAGCTGATGAACAAGATCTGAATGTGCAAACAAAACAAAGATCGATAAAAATGAATATGGAAAGTATTATTTTATAAACTACTATATGGCTTCACCTGGCAGATTGACCTTCTCCAGTGACACATGAATAAAATGAGTAACTGTGACCTACCTCTAAAAATCCTCACTGCTTGCTCTTCTGTGGACTTGGAGGAGATTGGTCTGAGTAACTGGACTACGAAAAGCAGAAACAAGTCTATAAAGGGACACAGGTTTCCAAGCATAATTTCTGAGGAAAGGCTGAGTAACTCTTGTTACTTTTCTTGACTGTTTCTAATTTCTTGAGAGAAATTAACAACAATACATTACCTTTATTTAGGAAGTAGGACAATCTGACCAGCTCTCAGGTGCCACTCCTATTAGGAGGAAAAGGAGGAAGAGAAGGTGGCAATACAAAGGAGGAGAAGTAGTCAATAAAAAACAACCCTAGGTTTTCATTCATACATGTAGAATGAAGTGCAAGAAGAAAACAAAACTAAAGCTTCACAAATAACTTTTAGCTCTTCCGAATCAGGCTCACTTTATCACTTTCCAATCAGTGAAAGCAAAGCACCAGTCTTTCCTCAGTCTGCGACAATAAGGAGGAGCTAAGAGAAAGTATTGCTTAGAGGTACAACACTTAAGGCCTAGAAGCTAGAAAAGCCACCTAAGTATTGGAACCTGATCCTATCAGTCTGGGATCTACAGAACCAAACTAAGCACTACCCTTTTGTAAGGGAATTTTGCACTCAGGCAATCTACACTCAGAAGGAATATTAACCTGACAGAATCTTTGTTCACATTTCAACCATAACCACAAGAATTAAGTGACCTAACTGACAAATGACCCTTTTTCCTATTGATTTACCCTTGGCAAGGTACCTGATTGGCTAAAGGACTGTTGTAACTTAGATTTAAAAGTTCTCATCTTATTTTAGATTTTCTTTAATGTTCATGGCACGTATAACAAGTCAAGCTGAATATCTTCTTATAATCAGACAAGATATAGCCAGTCAAGAAGAAGAACTTGCAACTATGTGGATGAAAATCAGGGAATCAGTTCTAAAAGAAGGACCCTAGGCCTCACTATAAAAGTAGCTCTTTTTGAAGAACTGAGTGACTAAAATAAATTACTCCTTAAAAACTCTAATCCTTAAAAAGTTTCAGGCTTATAAATTTGTTTTTAAAGAATAAAAGACAACAGTTAAAAACCACACAAATGATTGAAAACATGCTGTATTTCTTCCCATACTACCAACTTAATTTTCTGTCTGCACATTTAAGTCTAAATGCACAGCATTTTTTAGTCTCTAGATTTAAATGTCTGCTCATTTTCCCCCCCCGCATACTCTTAGAGAGATTGGAAGTGCAATGGCTATTGAAAACACAACTTAAGCATAATTCATATGTAAAGTGATTTATGTACAACGTGAAAATAACAAACATTTCAAAAGATAGCAGTCCAAAAAAATTCAGACACAGGCTTTCTTGAACTGTATTTTAGCTTTAATGGAATCAGAACTTGAAACCTTCAGAAACAATCTGTACAACTATACACAGGGTTAAGAGCATGATGCAGTATCTATGCTTTCCTATGTACAATCAGCTGAAATAGGACAAATGACACATGCCTGACTAGGAAAAAAATAAATGTGCTTTTACATAATTATTTAGTCCTTTTTGATCGTAGGCGTCGCTTGATGATTAGGTGGTCGCTTTCCTTTTCTTTCTGTTCTATAAAAATCTGAAAGAGATATTTCAAGAGTTACTCAGCCTTTCCTCAGAAATGTTTGGCTTACAATATTGGATATTAAACAGTCCCTCTAGTAGATGCTTCTAGACACATTAACAACATGACTTTTCCCATAAGCTGTTTGCAGAATGCAAGTTACCCATTATCCTTTAAATGAAGATCATAGGATGCAAAGAACACTTTCAGGGCACAACAAAAAATTAGTTCATGAATTAGGTCAACAGTTTTAAGAATATATCAAACTTGGCTTATAAAATGTCCAAAATTGTTAGGAAAAAGCTCATTTGAAAGTAACTCTCTAAACTCTTATGTTTTTTGCATGAAACAGGAATTATGTAAAGTCCATTTTAGCTTAAATTCGTCTTTGTTTGACTGGCCCAGGATTTAGACTCCCTTACTTTACCTTTCACCTGTGCTTCTCAGTTTTTTTTTTGCCTTCATTTGTGTCTTGTTTTCTGCTTATGGACACTCAGCACTCTGGCTTCCATTTCCTCTACTCATAGAACTTAGAGGAAAATTCAAGGGGCTGTCTTAGCATAGGCAAAAGCTTACCATAGGAAACAGAAGAATGGCTTTAATAGAATAGATGAAGTTTCAACACAGCAAGAATCCTCTCACCACCACACCTACTCACATCTCTCATAACCATAAAACTGCACTTCAGTTACTCCACATCCCATTAGTTGCTGGCTTGGGCAGAACAAGGCAATTGAGGCACACCCAGAAAGCTGTCTGAACAGTGTTCCAGAAGAACGTGAATGTATCCACATCCTAAAGTGATCCAAAGACCATTTAATAATAAATGGAGTTTGAGACCACCTTGGGTATTCACTTCCTTTGCAAAGTCATTTGGTGTGCAGAATTTCATCATTAGTGTTTCAAACATGCAGTCCCCAGTCAATGGTTTACTGAGTCTTTATTTCTATTTTCCCTTTATGCTATACTTAAATGAACACCATCTGCTGGAACAACAAATAAATTGATTCACCTACTGTAGTACAGGAAAAAACACCACATACCACAGCTACAATACCTATACATTTGATTTTAGAAAAATATAAGAGCAAGGTTAAGACCAGAAATAATGGCTGGACAGAAATCCGTAAACAAGGCAATATTTTTAACCCCTTTCCCAAATTGAGGGCCTTCAGTTGTGTTCTCTGCTCTACAAGTTCATTTTAAGCCAAGACTGCAGAAATACTTGTTAACTTGCATTACACCAAGCAGTAACTTGCAATCACTTACTGAAGAAGCAGGGATATCTAGAGGTCCAGAAACGTCAGTTGAATACAGCTTTCTCTTGGCTCGTTTCGACTTGATTTCATTTTCTTTGAGACTTTGGGGTTCGGTAGACTTAGGAGAGCTTATCGTCGCAATCAATTTCTTTGCTAGAATAAAAAATTTATTATAGATCAGCATTTTACTGTCTTCTGAGCCCCAAAAAGAATTAGTAAAATTAAACTTTTGTTTTTAATAACATTGGTTTCGACAGATGTTGAATGTTGAAATATTAAATTTTAGGAATGGGGAAAAAGATATAGGAAGAATTTCTTCCACTTTCATTTCTTTGTGGTGACTTATTTGCTAAAATTAAATATTTTCAGAAAGCGGTTTTGAATTCTTCAAATTTGTTTTCCATCGAAAGTGAGGCTCAGTCCTCATTGACCATATGTGAAAACCTGAAAGCTTTTCAAAAATCCACTGTCATTGTCTGGGCTATCTGGTAGCTAAAGATAACATGTGGTTTTGGAACAAGTTTTGAAGTTGATGCACAGATACTAATTTTAAGTACCTACATAGAATGCTAACTGCCCTAGTTTTAGTAAATAACAGTGTCCGTCAAAATTAAACCCTGGAGATCCCTTGTGCCCCCTGCCCCACCTTGTGTTTATTATACCCTCCTCTCCTCTATTTATTTTAAGGCCACAGTAACTCAGAATCTACCTGCTACCCTAGGTAAAAATAAAATATATTTTTCAGTGAAAAATCCTAACAACTGCACTTTCCAAGGCTACACTCAAATATAATGCATTCATTAGTTGCTTTGCAGTCAGTTGATTAAAGATTTCCAAATATTTTTGTGAGTTACCTTATTTCAGATTTTGAGAAAAGATTAGTTTTACAAGCATAAACATATCAAATTATTAATATAGCTTCCACAGAGCCAAGCTAGGAGGAGACTGCTTATAGAAAAAGACAGGATGAGGGTGTGGACTCAGCTTGATTTTTATACTAGTAGCAAAAGTTTCCTTGAAATTTTACCTGTTTTAACATAAGAATGAACAAGACTCAGACATTTGGAAATTCTTAGGCTGAATTTATATATTATACCCTGCAGTGCATTGTCTTATCTCACCTAGGTCACCTTTTTCATTTAACCAGAAGGTTAGAATTAAGCTCCCTGCAGTCGGGACCTCCTTTCATGTTTTGCAAGATACAACATAACAAGGCCCAGTTCATACATTTCATGAAAATGAACAACAGACATGGCCTTTAGCTACATATAAATTACAATAGCTACACATTTGTTTGCAAAACTCTGCAAAAAACATGGAGATAAAAACTTCGTACAAACCTTTAGAATGAATAATAGTAGGCGAACCTTGAAAAAAGTCTCCAATTTTTTGTAGGGTTCCCTCCTTTCTAACTGACTTTGTACTTGAAGCAGATTCTTGCTTTCTTAATGAGTATTCTTTTTTAAATGAATTTGTGGTAGGCATCTAAACAGAAGAAGAAGATTAAATAATAAATTTAAAAAGAGTAGAAATTTGGCTATCTCCAAGTTTAATTCAGTTTTGTAACCTAAATATTTAAGCTGGCATTCTGAATTTTGCTACTGACACCTGTGTTCATTCTACTAATGACATGACAACAGTGATTTAGAGAATCTCATTTTATAACTGGGGGGGGTGGAGAATGGAAGTCTTTAAAAAATTTGACAAATTACTATGAAACGAGTCTTAAAAAAAGATTCCAAGTTGCACAGTATTTCCTTACACAAACTGTTCTCCTTATAAATAAAACAAGGGAATTAATGACAGGAAGATCTTCTACCTACTCACTGAATTTGTGCAAGATACTGCTAGGATTTTAAAACATCCTAGTTTTGCACATATGGATAACTGTCCCAGCTTTACTTCAAAAGGCAACACATACAATATCACACACCCTAATAGCACAGTTGAACTTGTCTTCATAGCTAACATGCCACTTCCACTCGAGCCATATAACTATATAACTGCTAGTATATGATCTTGCCAAATACATACTTAAACTCTAAGCTAACTGAAGATATTAACAGGAAGATAACATAAGTGTTATCACAAATAGAAAGTGTTATCACGAAGTTACAAACATAGCACAAGATCAAACCATTTTTTTGTTGCTTGTAGAAGGGATAGATTTCGCATTTTTCTTGTTTTCGTTTTTCACAAAGTCCTAAAAAAAGACAAATATTAAAATTGCTATTATCGTATTGGAAAGAATAATGATTTATAGCATAGAAACAGCCACTTTTAAATGCTGTGACTAACAGTAGAGAGTTACTGGTTGGTATGGGATAGAAGAAGCTAACCAATTCTGAATCAAATGGCTAGACAACCCTGTGATAGACAGGACATTAGAAAGAATTGTAGGTAAACAATTTTGACATTTGCCGATTTCTTCTCTCTCCATTTGCCATGCTTTCAGCTGAGAGCTATTTGACAAGTGAACATGCAAGTTAAGTCACTCAGTAGATCTACATACAACTTCAAATTTGCAGAGACAACCATAAAAGCAAGTTGGCAGCACAAAAATATCTTACACTGACAGCTTAACAATGGTGCTATCTTGGGATGTGATGTCACCTGTGTCTAACAAACTTGCCTTTCAAGATCTATGCGAAGCAAGACTACACCTTCACAATGCCATCAAAAGAAATTCAAATAGATTAGATAAATAGAGAAAAACAGTGTTTGGGAGATTAATTATTTGTGTCTACAGCTTTTCTGAACTAAGTGAGAGATTTCCAATAGCCATAACAGTAGAAGTCTAATTGACACCAATAGTTGCCAAAGGCAAAACAATCAATCATGTATCCTATAGAATCAGTCCTTGATCCCACAGATCAAAGCTGCTGACAGAAGCAAATGGTACTCCCAGAAAGAACACCGTGTAGAGGGCAGCAAGAAAGTACAAGTCAGGGACAGGAGGCCAAAGCTTGGATAAATTCAAGTTATAGTTATTTTCAACAGAGACCAGAGATCCACCGCTTCTGGAGAAAAAGAGACTTTATGTGTAAGATGTATCATATATTTATATACTTATATAAATATATATATATATATATAATATACACACACAGAAGACATATCCTTAGTGATCCTAGTGAGGACCTCATGAGAAAATAAAAAGTGATCCCAGTTATTACAGTAATACATAAAAAACTGCACAAAAGACTTAGTTGTTTAAGTCATACCTCATCCATCTCTTCACTCTTCCTTTTCCTTCTTGGTTTGAGCATTTTCACTGTTACTGGCAAGGTGCTGCCCTGATGCTTCACCTCTATCTTGTTGGGTTGCAGAGGTGTGAACTGGATTTCCATCTCTGGCTTTGGGAACCGACTAGTTCTTCCGTTTTCTGTGGACACTTCAGAAGAATCTAGGACAATGTCTGAATGGCCCTGCAAGCAACAGAAACTTTAAGCAAATAACCTTCCAAGTAAGTCTCATGAAAACAAACAAGGTGAGGAAATGTACGTGAAGCAAGCATCCCATATGCCAGCTATTAGCTTATGGAAGACTTAAATTACTTCAATTATAGCAGAGTTTAAGCTTTATTTTCTAAAACTATTTCTACTAAATCTAAACAGAAAGTAATACTTCCAAATATGAACTCAGAATGCACACAACACATGCAACTTCACTGTGTGTGTTAACTCAACCTGGTGCCTTGTTTCCCAGCCAGTTCAAGGACAGAACTGGCCACAATTTTTACTGCTAAATTGACAGGACTGTCAATTGACAGAATTGACATGATTTTCTACCCAGCACAGCCGCTCCTCAGGATCTGGGCAGGAGGTATTTTGACAAGCTTAATCCTTTAGCCTATTTTTAGAGAGCTTACCCCTTCCCCTTCTGCAGTAGGGATGTTAATTATGTAGATAACAGTGTACCTGTCAGACTAAAAGCCCAGTTCAACCTATGAGACACTTCAGTATCACCATCTTGGCTCTGAAGACAGAGAAAAGCTTTCAGGCAGCATCACAAACTGAACAAGCTGAAGACCTCTCCTTCCAGCTGACAACCAGAACTACCCAGTGAGAGCGGGATGGAAAAGGCACGCTGCACAGCTCCTTCCCAGTAGCACTTGCTGTCCATCATTCCCATAATCCTGTAAGCAGAAGGAGCTGGAGCCTCCCTGGCTCCTGCTGCTCCGTGGCAGCCCTGCAGCTGCTGGCAAGCAGCACACAGTTCAGTGGCTGTTTGGACAAAGGGCTCAAGGGACACCAGTGCTTGAGGAGAGGGGGCAGGTGGCTGCATGGACTGCTGCTAGGGTCCCAAAGAGATGAGCTGTTGTTGCTTGCTCTTCTGGTTCACCCTGGCAGGTCCTGAGACCTTCCTCCTCAAACCATGAAAAGAATGTCAATTTTTTTTTGTCAATTTTGTCAATGACAAAAAGAATGTCAAGGACTGTCACCCTCTTCAACAGGATCTGCTGGGATTCTTGAGCAGGGGTATCACCACTGCAGCCCTAAAGATAGAGTTGCTCAATAGAAATATTTTTGAAGCGCTACTGTATGAAAGAGTTTGCCTTTCAAGAGTTAAGAACTCTTAGAATTCTTAGCCAACAACACTGCACACAGGAATCCTGCAGCCAAGGAAAGCAAATTCTTGCTGTTGCTTGCCCATTCAGATTGCTTTAAGTACTTTTCCCAGGTGATTCTCATCTAACAATCATCCAGTTATAAGCATCACTGAAAAGTATGTTTTCAACAGCACATAGTTAAAGTCAAATGAAGTTAATTATTCAATTATATTTTCCCATAGATGTGTTTCTACCAAAAGCCACTAAATCAAGTGATTTGACTTTTTTATAGCACCCAGGAAGGGATAAGAGAATAAAGCTTTAGGTAATGCGACTCAGACATCCTTATCTATCAAAAAAGACACAGCTACAGGAAATGGCTAGATTTAAAGTTCATATCAACCTCGGTTTCACTTAATAAAGAAGCACTGCTAGGACATCAAAATAATGAATAATTCTCTAGCTTCATCATATCTTACTGGAATATTTTGTCCAGCTATATGGCTATTCTTGCTCTGTTTTTCCATAGACTGTAAATGTCAAATGAATAATGATTATGCTATATTGTAAACCTCAAAATATTTTAAGGGTTATAGAAATTTTAATACAAAAGCTTCAGCACATAAGGCTAATTAACATATGGGCTGAAAGTCAACAAATTAAGAGTGTAGTTGCACCTACTGGGGATACAACCATCTGTGAGGTGAGGCTCCACTAGGTCTCACCAGTAGTCCACCTAGGTCACTATTCTGCCTCCAGGAGTAGCAGGGATGCTTTATTAAAACACAAGCATGACTATTTTCTACACTCTATTCTCTTCACACTCCCCAGTGCCACATTGGAAGTATCACAAGATACACGCTCATTGAATCCTTTTAAAACCCACTTGAGAATGCTTATGGGTTTCTCTGCTGTTAATTTGCCTAATACCTGTTGACATTACCTGCTTCTATCTCCTCCAGAAGATCACTAACTGCTGCCAAATGAGTACTATTTTTTTTGAAGCATGTCCTCTTAGTTTCACTGAGTGCTCCCAAGTTCTTGAAGTATTTAATGAAGGACAGTTCTGTTTTCAGCTTACCCATAACCTCTGTGATTTTATAAGCCTCAGTCATACCTCTCCAGAAGCCTTAACCTCTCCCAAACTGAGGAGTGACAGCTTTTTAGCCTCCCCTTCTAAGGCAGGAGTAACACATCCCCTTGATAGTTTTAGCTGTTCTTATTTGAAACAGCTACATCCTTTCTGAGGATTCCACTTCCCCCCAGTTTGACATTCATATTTCCCAATACCTCAAAGTTTATTTGGGAATTTCCTGACCTTCCATTAGTACATATGGCACTCATCATTGTCAGAGGTGAAATCTATGAAGACAGTCCGGTTGCAGGGGAAGGGGCTGCATCTCATTATAGCTAAAGGGATTGTTAGGCCATCTCTGTTCAGCCCTGTTTCATCATCAATTAATAGCACAGCCACATAGAATTAACTCAGTTTAGCTGGAAAATTGCCTCATTAAATACTGAGATACAAGCAGCACACAAAGGTCCATTTAGAATCACAAGTCTCAGTACAATTGCAAGCCTTTTACTCCTTGTTCAGGAAGAATGCAGAGTTAAACTTCTCTTCACACAATCTTCAGTTATTTATTTATATATTTTTACAGGTGGAATGCAAGGTATTGTCTTTCTTCTGAATTGCAGTATGGTCTAGCATCCCCAATTACAAAATCATTCCCTTTTACCATACTATAGGCAATATGAAAGATGTTGAAGCTGAAATCCCTTAATATTTGAATAACTAAACTAAAAGTGAGCTAGAACAATGCAGAATGGAAGATAAAGTACTGTATAAACAAACTTTTTAATTTTTCAAAGTGTCCCCAAGATGACAGAAGAACAAAGCATTAGCAACATGTACGTAACGTGTCTTATAGAAGATATTTTCTAGTCATAAATATACCTCTTTGTTGCATGTAGACTGATCCATCGTATTTTGTTCATTTTTGGGTGATGGTACTTCTGCTAAAGACTGAAGGTCATCTTGGTGAAGACTTTGTTTTAAATCTTTTATGTCATCTTTGTCTGCCAACTCCTTTCTTAGTTCCTCTACCACAGTCTCATTCTCCTAAAACATTAAAAATAGCAGAAATTGAAGACTGATTAAAAAAGGAGTTAAAGGGCATACAAGCATTACTCCAACTCTTCAGTAGCATGATTCAGAATTGTATACTAAGCAAGTAAACTACCCAAAAAAGCCCATCCCCTGTGTTAATGGGGCCATGGTGGAAAGGGAAGCAGTCATGCAAAAGCATGGGAAGATGCAGCATAAGATTTATTTTACTCTGCTTATGTACTTCCATCTTCCTCTAGCAACAAGTTCTCCCAATCATTCAGGATGTCCTTGGCAGTGAAAAAGGCAGCAGTTGGGCTATTTGTTGATCTTATGAACATCTGTCCTCAAAGACAACTAATCCAGAGCAACCACAAAATCTGAACAAAAGACTGAGTTACTGTTTTGTGTTATTTGGCCAACTGAATTTTCTGGAACATCAGTCACATCAGCCACTACTGCAAATTCAGCTTTACAGACTTCTTAAAGTAACAGCAAATGTTTTATTCTTAAACAGTATCATGCTTAAAATAAGTGCAGACAAAACAGGAAGAGCAAGAATAGTGTTTTGCAACATGAATGGATAATAAAAATCAAAGCTGACCTTTCTTGAATCCTTTAATGTAGCCTGTTTCAGTTCTGCTATTTCTTTATCCTTTTGAGTGATGCTAGAAGCTAGAGTCCTGAGCTGTACTTCCAAAGCTTCTACTAATTTATCTCTTTCTTCACGCCATTTTTGAAGGTTGCTGTCCTTTTCTACCAGCTGTGCATTAAGTCTTTCCTAAGTGGGGAAAATACAGGTTAGAATTAGACATCCTTTCCTACATAATTCATCTGAACTGTGCTCATTGTTTGGTTTCATATAGTTAGTGTTATATTATGGCTTGAAAAAAGGCAACCAGAAAGTTAAAGCCCACAGACTCTGTCAATTCAGAAGAAAAACTAGTGAACTAATTTCATCAAGAACACGCAAGAGCAAATTTTGCTTCATACAACAAACCTGCATCTATAGTAAACTCAAAAGCAGAGATTTTGCAGCAAATATTATATATTTTAAAACTTTAAGAAGTGTTTTTTGGTAGGTTCCTTAGTGGTGTTTTAGACACAAGTCAAGGTGACAGAACAGAAAAGATTGCTGCAAAAAACAGACATGTTACCTCTTATTACAAGCTTCTTTGTTTGTGACCCTTACTGCTATATTTTCCTTACTGAGCAGATGTCACTTGAACTTCTTCATGGAAGCAAGTGAGAGAAGTTCTGGTTTTGACAAATGCCAGTTGGTCTCAAGCACCTGCGCTACTGTTAGCGCTTCACATGAGACTTGTTTTAAACAGATTAACACAACAGGACTTCCAGAGACCTCCCACAAGACAACTGCAGAAATCTCTCAACTACTGCTTACAATTTCTGCTTGTTGCTTTACATGACATTCTCGGTCTTCAGCAAATTTTCTCATTTCTCTGTTGCGATGATTTTCAGCTTCTTTTACTTGACTTATGAGTCCCATTTTTTCCTCAAGCCACTTCTTTCTGTCAGTTTGATACTTTTCCTCATACTCCTATTTTAAATAAAACAGAATCATTGGGGGAGTTAAGCTGAAGTAATTTTAAATGGTGGATTACCACTAATGGCCTTATTTCAAAAACAGAGGAAATAATAGCCCAGTTTAACATTCTGAAGTGCAAAGTTTTTATTTATTCTTCCCAATTATTACAAGTACGTAAAAAGAAGATCCGAGCTTCCAAGTCTCTAATGCTGCCTAGGCCACATTTGAAAACCTATTTCTACCTCAATAGAGGAAGGCAAATAGTACAGCACAGCTTGAATATTAGGCGAAGACTGTACCTCACAGGCTGTCACTTCAGCCCACAGCAACTTTGCCTCCTCCTTCCCCTCGCCACTTCCACCAGCCAAACCTTTTGTCAGATATGCTACCAAGTAAGATAGATAGCACATTGGAGATAGCTCCTCAGACCCTCAGGGACAGACTTAGATTTAGCTGCTCAAGTGTCTGACAAAACACGTTTGTCAGACGTCTTCTGAAGTCATAATTGTTTTGTGTCAGTGTTCCTTTCTTGCATACATTGAACAAATAAATTATGCAAGTATACCATATTTATTGTATAGGTATATTATGAAACAACAAATATTACATGGACTTCTTGTTCTGTAGCATTTGCTTTAGTCATTAGAAACATTAAAATTATGCAGGAAAACACAAGCACAAAATATTCCACTAACAGAACATACTTGGCCAGTGTGTAACCACACAGAAAGTGCTAATGACAGAATCCTTCTTTAATGAAAGAAAGAATAGAATTGGTTAATACAATTGTACAGAGGAGCCCAGCTATGGCAGCACTGTCCACACTAGCGTTACATGAAGGATGCTTTCCACGCTATATAACGGGCTATCAGTGATGCAATTCCTCATACATTACCAGTGATGCTGTATCCAGACCCTGCTGCACAGCAGCTTTTAAAGGAAATTTAAAATGTACCATTAAAGGAAATTTATCTTGTACCATTATGAGTTTCATACGATGCCCTGATTCTTGAATAGAACAGCAGAAGCTAGATTTAGTTTCCTGTTTAGTTTAGATTTAGTCTCCTCTTAAATTGAGATGGATTTAAGCTGATTATGAATTAAGTCATGACATTTTACCTTCAGTTTTTCTTGTAGCTTGGATTCCTCCATATTTGCATTTATACTTTTCTCTTCTTTATATACCTTCTTCAGCTCATCGCTATTGTTCTGGCACATCAGCTCTCTATATTTTTGCTTCCATTCTTCCAATTCTAGTCAATGTACAGAATGAGATTACGTAGTGTATAGTTTCAAATACATAAATACACTCACAGCCTTCTACTAAGATGACTCAGATTTATCACTACAACCACAAAGGGTGTACTGAAATTATTAGAAATGTATTCAGGTACTGCAAAAATTAATGTCTAAATACAGTCAACAATTAAAAGTGGAATTTTCCAACATACTCTACATCAAAACACAATGTTAAAACCACAATTCTGACTTCCTGTTCCCTTAAAAAAAATAGTTTACCTGAAACTAATCTGTTAGTCTCTTCTAATTTAGCTTCAAGCACTTGCTCTTGTTCAGTCTGAGTTTGTTCTTGTTCTTCTAGGGTCATCCGCATATCTTCAATTATTTTTTCTTTTGTACACAGATCTAAATATTTGAGAATAAATGTGCAATTAAGCTTTCTTCTCTTAGTTCCCAAGGTTCTTTCCTGAAATACCCTCACTACAAATATTTCTCACTTCTCCCAGGCAAAAGCATTCCTACTGAAATACCTTTTTCCAAAATTCTTTAGTAGTTCTCATCAACATGACTCAGTTAAGAGCTTCAGGATTACTGTAGATCACGCTATTGCTTGTATTATCAGAGCAAGTCACTAAACTACTACATTTCTCTCTCTTATGATGAGAAGGCACCATCATTGCACTTCCATATTGGATTTTGTTAAAATGGCCACTATTGATACAGAAAATTCTTACTTCCTTGGGCCTTTGATTTCTTATTTTAAGCCTGTTTCTTTGCTCTTAAATATAGCTGATAATTGTAAGTTAATAAATATCTGGTTCCTGACTAACACTTGAACATTAGCATCGGAGTTTCCTCAAACAACTTGTAAAAAAACAAACACTATAGGACTCTTCAACATGGTTAACAACATAGCTCATTATATTGCCCACTAAGAACAGAACAGTAGCGTCTCTGGCTGACCTTTACGTAGCTTCTCATTCTGTCCGGAGAGTTCTTCCAACTTATTATTTGGCAGCTCCTAAACAACCACATTGGAAGCAAATTTAGAGAAAATATATATATGACAAAAACAAGTAAACACCAGAAATCAGTATCTGCCTAGAAAAAAATAATTCTGGGTCTTAGCAAATAATAAACATAAACTTGAAATCATCTGGAATAAATAGATTCTATACATACACACACACCCCTACATATATGCTATAGAAACTCACTAGCTAGCAAGTAAAAAAGTTAGAAAGACCTTTCAACTAACATATTGAGATTTTCAAATAAGAATCGGGCATTTTCAGGTGCAAAGTAAGCATTTACTAGACAGTTCTATTTTAATTAATTTGACAAAATCCTGCAATGTAAAGCTGTTCTAACATCTTTCACCCACGAAAATTCATTTTAGCCTCATAGTCCTACTTTATCCCAACCTCTGTAGGCTTCCTCTATTTGCTCGAAAAAAAAAAAAAATCTTGTTAATAGACAGATAGAAAAACTATAATACCTTTTTAAGTTGCTGGATTGTGCGCTGTTTGATATCCAGCTCTTCACCAAGCTGTTTTTTATTTTTTTCAAGTTCATTAACTTGGTTCCGCAGGGATTTCTCCTCTGAACGCATTGTGCACACCTGCAAAAGAACCCAAAAGAGAGCCAAGAAGCTAACTTTTATAGTTCTCCATGACACCTTTATAATCTCTTTAAGATAAATGACCTAATATTTGAATTTAAAAGTTCAATCATTCAACACAGATTTTGGTTAAACTAAAGGCTGAAATTCTGTACTGTACATCTTTTGTGCTATACATCTTTTCAAAGGAAACCTCTTTGAACATCAAATCAGTTATAACACTTGGCAAAAAAAAAAAACAACACAGCTGAAAATTTCAACACTAGCCCATTTAAAATGAAAGTTTGCCTAAATATTATCTCATCTACTCCTTGCTCCTTCTCAGGTAGGAAAGAATTAACTGTTGAGCACTAACTAGAACAAGAACAGCAAATGTCAACAGCTGCTGGGAGAAAAAAGAACCAATAACAGATTTTTAAAACTTTAATTTTCAAGCCCAAATGCTCACAATAATCTGATTTTGAGCTGAAGTAATATCCTGCCAGGTCTAAAGAACTGTTGCTGCTTAATAAGCAAATACTAAGAATTTAAGCTGCAAAAAATAATAACATTCCTTCATTGCTTCATTTCTTCTTCCCAAGCCTAATAAAGCAAAGCTTATTTTTTTATAAACATATATATTTTAAAAAATATTTACATATGTTTGTATATTTTTTAAATCTGGAAGCTAGGTTTTTTCCTTTGTGGCAACATATCAGTATTCCTTCCTCAAAATTAGCATTTTCCACAAATTTAAAGTCAGCTCAGATGATAACAATACAAGACTATCATTACATTACCACAGTTATTAGAAAGTCTCTTCTCCATAGCTAGCTTACTCATCTTTTAATAGAAGTTTTCAAAGAATATCAATAACACTTTCCCCACTTTCAATATTTATACTGATCCATATTTTGGCGTCTAATGTTCTCATTAGCTTATAGCTTCAACAACATCGTTATTTAAAATTCATTATTATTCCAAATACGTGTCTTCAAAGAGCCTTAGTATAAAACATTTCTAGAATGAGCCTGAGCATAAAACATTTTGAGAATCCATAGTTTGAAAAAGCTAGTTTGCCTAACAGACCCCTAAGCAAAATATTGCAAAACAAACATCTGGCTTTAGTTACAAACCTCCTTTTGTACTTGCTGGATTTGTTTCTTGGCATCAGAAAATTTCTCTTTCAAATCTGTATACTCTTCATCTTTCCTCTGGAGATCTTTTTTCAGACTCTGTATGAGGGCAGAACTCTCAGAGAGCTCTTTACTCAGGCTTGTATTAGAAAATAAGAGATATAAACAACATTACAATGCTATGCATCCCAAAGGAACAGCATACACAGGTTAACAGAAGTTCTAACTACTGATTCCTAACCATTCTCTCAGATATTACCAACTTCCTATTATTTTTCAAATTTGAGCTTCTCATAATAAAATTCACAATTCTTTCACTTCCAAGCAGTGCAATAAAAAGAAAAAAAGACAGGGAAACTAAACAAACAAAAACCCGGAAAGACAAAAACAAAAAACACCCAAGATTTACAAGGTATCGAGGTTAGTTTCAAGTAGATTTTAATTCGACATGTACATCCCAATCAGGCTCTGCATCAAAGAAAAACAAAATAAAAATCAGAGGACTGCAACAAATAGGGCTCTTAGTTGCAAGCACTACAAAGTAATAATTGACTTGACGTGAACAGTGACGACCATTTATTTACTTAAACTTAGTATTGTGCACTTCCTGATGAAAATATTGCCTGGCTTTTATAGGAGTTGTAGGATATAAAACTACATCATGCAAATCTCCAAAAGGAGACATATAACATAAAAACCTTAAAAATAGCAACCCCCCCTTTTTTTTTTTTTTTTTTTTTTAAATTCCTTATATCATCTTTTATCCAGATCAATGCTATATTTCTGGAGGCCTACATGCACATGCAGAAAAAGAGGAAAAGCAAGCAGAACATATACATTCCTCAAAACTTCTATTTACCATAAATTCTTAAAGAACCAATTTAAATAAGAGTGTTGATAAGCACGTACATGTGTTATATGAAAGTAACGCTCACAGAAGGTGGTTTTATCTTGGGTCACTTCTCAAAGAAGTTATATCAATATTTACTTACAGTTCAATGGATTGTGCCTTCTCTTTATCATTTGTCTCTTTTTCCTGAAGAGAATGTTTCATCTCCTCCAAGTTGTTCTTCAACTGCACAACCTGATCCTTCAGATTTATTTCCTGATCAGTTAGTTCTTTCAACTTCTTTTCTGAATTAGCACATTCCTCTTGCAGGACTACTGTAGTATTTTCTAGATTTAAAATAATAGATTCTTTTTCCTTAAGTACTTGCTCTAACTTTGCCTTGTCGTCATCTTTGCTTCTAAAAGCCTCCAAAAGACATTCTAGCTCGTTTATTTTTTCTTTGTACCTGGAAGCTTCCTCTTCAAACTGTGCAATTGCTCTATAATGTTCAGCAGCCTGTTTTTCAGAATCCTCGTTTTTCTTTCGGATTTGTTCTTGCAATTGATCAACAAGAGCTTCTTCCTTTATGGACAGACTAGCTTGATTTGTAAACTCGCTTAATTTTATTTTTAGTTGATTTTTATCGTTTTCACTGTCAGCAAGACCCTTGTTTAAGTTTTCAACTTGTTGAAGTAGTTCTTGAATTTGTTGACTCTTCTGTGAGGAAGCCTTAATAATTTTTTTGCATTCTTCCCAAATGCCTTCAATGCTGCAATGAAAGGAGCTGTCCCGTCTCAAGTCTTCTGTAGAAGCTGCTCGGGATTGCACGTCTAAAGGACCAACTTGAGATCTCTCCGATTCATCCTTTTCAGATTGCAAGTCATCCTTTAGATTAACCAAATCAATATCCATAGAATGAGACTCTAAGCAATATTTACATAAATCATCTATTTTGGACTGCATTGCTTTTATTTGTGACACTTTATCAATTATATTTTGGTTGGCACATTCTACTTCCTTACGTAAGAGAATAATCTTTTCCTCTTGTTCCTCATTTATAGCTTTCTGCTTTCTCAATTCAGACACAATTTCTTGATAGCTAGCTTGACACTGCTGAAGTTCCTCCCTCAGATCAGATCCTCTTTCTTCAGAGGCAGAGAGATCAAAGCCTAAGTTTGCCACCTGTTTGACAAGTTCTTCTTTTTCAGTCTTTTCTCTTCTACATTGTTTTTCCAGTGCAGCTAACTGAGATTCCAATGTTTCAATTCTTCCCTTCAGTGCTACTATTTCTGCATTTCTTTCTGAAGTATTTTGTTTCATGTACTTAGTTGTCTCTTGCTCTAGCACATCATCTTCCCAACATTCTTTACTAGCTCCTAAAAAGATACAGCTTAGGTTGGTTAAGTCAATACTCTAGATTATTAATAATTATCATGTAGCATAGAATATGGTCACACTTTAGATGCTAAAACTTCACACCGTAATGTTTTGCAGTCTGAAGTCATTAAGGCACTCTGAGCAGAGCAGTAAGCACCTCCAGATGTTTTAGACATAGCTTGTAGCAAAAGGCTTTCAACAGCCTCAGAATAATTTTGTATGTATAGTAACACTCATTAGCTAAATATCTACTGTTCTATCTTATTCCCTTTAATCTATTCACTTTAAGTATGGAATGAATTATTACTGAGGGGGAGAATATTTTTCTGAAAGGTTTCTTTCATACTCATAATTTACTTTATTTCCAAGTTCCTCAAGTAACATGCATGCTATGCCTCCCTATTGGGTTTCTCTTTAATCCCAAGGCTATTATAACCACATGCTTTCTGGAGACACCAAGAGCTGCAACTGCAGTGAGACGGAGCTTGGCAGTGCCCTCGTGCAGGCAGCACTGAGCACACAGCTGCACATGCACTGCATGGCAACAGCCTCCGAACAGAGCCAACATTTCACAAGCTGCCATTGATTATCCATCACACAAATGCAGTCATGCTAACATGTTAGCAATAGTGGTTTTGCTCTTAACTCACATTTTGTTTGTTTCTAAATGTGATCAAGTTCCACAGTACTCTGCATCTCTCGTCTCCCCCAATACTTTTGGGGTTCTTGTTCTAATTGGACCTATTAAATTGTCCTTTTGGGCCAGACACTGGAACAGCTTTTCAAGTATTATTTATGGAATAAAAACATGTTTCTAAGTCAAAGGACCAAAGAACTTCATTCTAGTATGCAGCTTTCTGTGAACCCTCAATCTTAGAGCTCCAAAAAAAACTGGCCAAATACTACAGATTCCTCATTAGACCTAAGTCCTAAGACACCTCAGCTTTTTCCCTTTAGAACAGTTTAAGTGATAAAAAAAAAAAAAAAAAAAA